TGACGCCAGTGTGGGGGAACCGATTCGCAACCGGGCCGGCAGACCGGGCTTTCCACCGAGGTCACGCGTTGTGCATGAGTGACCCCTCGTATGCACTCGCTGTTTATTGCACTCGATAGCGCCCGTGTGCGCTCGCGAGCGCTCGTAAATGCTCGCGGGTACCCGCAAGCGCTCGTTACCGGCAGCAAATTTTACGAGGAGATAGGAGGGTTTAGCGGAAACTTCGAGCGAGTACGAGTGCGAGGAGTACTTCAATTTAATCATTACTGTATTGTTCAGGTGGACGCAGTGCACATGCAGTTCCTTTGATGGGGAAGCAATGGAGACCAGTAGTTTATGCATGATACAGTGTCAAGCAGCTGAACAAATCTGATTGCAATCATTGGAGAAGCATTTACCATTTTCATTTATGGCCCACTTTCTTTGTTATTTTACATTGCCTTTTCACTTTGATATCTTGCATATAGATGTTCTTGAACACCAAAGAATAGTTTATTCACACACTAATGAAAATTGCACGAACAGAAAGCTTGAAGGCACAGGGAGGGTGCCATCAAGGATCCAAAGTCTGACTTGAATGTGTCATAGGCCTTGTTATGTATAAACAGGAGTGAGGGATCATCCAACAGGGCATTGGGTCTTAGCAGAACATTTCTGCCTGACATCTCCAAGGTTTATGCATCCTTCAAAATAGGGCAATACAAGTGGCAGATCTCATGAAAAATCTGGTAGTTGCTTTAATCACAGATTTGTTTGTATACTAATGACACACTACCCCTATTTGATTTAATATTTTTGACATTGTAAACCTGTAAAGGTTTTTTGTGAATTTTGAATTGAAAAAGTTTAACTACATTAGACTGAATAAAAACACTTGTATTTAAATATTAATACAATCCACATTATGTCATGAAGTGAAATTGTTCAATTTCTGACAGACATCAGAAAATGTACTTCCAAATTGCCTTTAATTTGCTTATTTTATTTTTGCTGCATTCACATTATTTGTAATATATATGAGTGTCATCAATTATGAGTGTCATCAATGAAGACATGTACAGAGTGGAATTTACTGAAACCGTAAGAAGGAAAGATGGCAGGTAGTACTGTATGCGTAACCAATATTAATTCATACGTGACACACACATACAAGTGGCAGGTCTCATGAAAAATCAATTTTGTCTTAAATTTTTTCATCTGTGTACAGTATGTCAGTGTTTTATTTGTAAATATCCTTGTACATATTGCAGTAAAAATAAAATATGCCTGTTTTTAGGCTTATTATCACATTGCTTTGTCTTTATAAATTGTACACAGATTTTTCTGAAAAAAATGCATGTTGAATTTATCGCCTAGGCTGGACATGGGTTAATTGAATTTGCAGTGAAGGCAATATTATTGCACCACGTTAAATTAACGTTAATGCTTGACAACTGTTTGTGTTCTTGTATTATAACGAGTGGGCCTACCGTAACCCCAGGCGGAATTATGTCTTACACTGGTTGCTGTCAAGTGTCGTAATGTGTTAACTGACTGTCCCCCAGTCAAAGCTGGCGCTAATTTTCTTAAGTTGAGCCTGGGCTTACCAAACCAAAGTCTAAGTATGCATGTACGAAAAAATGGGCTTGTTCTTGCGCTTGAAAAATGGCACCATGGGCATGGAACTAAGCAAGCTTAGGCCTAGCCTAGGCCTGTGTTAAATACACACGAAGAAAACCATGACGCATCAACAGCTTGAGCGGGAGAGAAAAAGGAACAAAATATTAAATATAATTCATATTACCTCTCTTTATTTTGGGGGAACATGAAAAAAAATAATTCTGGGCATTTGCTCTGCCTATTGCTGCATTGAGGTGCCGAATAGTGGGCTGAGAATAACGAATTTCTTCTGCCAGCCCATTGTCAATATTCACACATCCAGGAACTTTTGGAAACATTGCTTACGTGAATGGTCGCCGCAGCATCACGTAGCCGATTACACTTTCTGGCGGTCAGTAATCCATCTTGCGGCGCTGCATGGCGCTATACTCTCTTTGATGATAACAGTGTGCCCGCATTTGACATACATGTACTACTGATGGGGTCTTTTGCAATGCGTACACTGCACATCATTTCCCACAATCAAGACCCTGACAAGAATTTTCATGCCCTTTCTTGTGAACTGGATGGCCACCCACATAAAATCAAGCCTTCCCTGAATATAAAGCATTTGATCATTGACTTGATATTAAAAATGAATTATGAGCATGGCCAACCAGTTACAACCTGCCGAGATTTTACTATTAGTGACTATTCTGGTATGTGAGGGTTATGAAGTAAAATTTCCAGCCTGCATTATACTTTATATAGGCTAGCACTGTCATGACTGTAGCAGATAACTGTATGTAAGTTAAGGTCACAGCTTGAGGCCTAACGTTAGTATAATTTTAAACACGTTATTGTTAATGTTATTGTATTTGGTAAGAGTAAATTTTACCTTTCAAACAATGACTACATTTCCACCTGCACTCTGATGCCTAGAACTGGCAACTGATGTCCACCAACAAACATCCTTGACCCATCCACAAACAAAGTGGTTGAATGCCTCCCGGGACTTGTAGCTTTTAAACTCTTTAAGAGTGTATGCCTTTAGCATGTACCAGGCAATTGAAAATATTGGGGTAAACTAAATCTGGAAGCAGTTTCCAATCCCTCAAGAGTTGCACTGTCTTTCATGTAAACATGTATGGGTCGACCCTGCCAATTGCTTCTGTTTTTTTTTCAGGTACCAAGATTTAGATTCTTGATCCAGAGTGTCAACATACATGTACTTTTAGTTTTCCTATTGTGTGGTTTTTCTTATTTGACTTTGCAAGGCCTTAAATCTCCATTGCTGTTGTGTACCGAACGCATGATAGTTCAGTTGAGCAAGTCTAAATTTCACCTAAGCACAAGGGGCCACTCTCTTGTGTTGACAGATCATGTGCAGTAGGTTGACACACAAAATGGCTGCAACCATATAAAAAACCCTGCATGTAACAAGTTCACGATGTCAGTGAATATCTAGAGAAGGAGCGGTTAACTCTGAGCATCTGGGAAAACCATATTAGCTGATGCTTCAGTTCAAAAATGTTTGTGAACGTAAAGCATGTTGAAAATCACTAGCATAATTTCTGCTGAGTATCACTCGTGCTATGAATATTGCATATCCTACCATTATTACCATGGTCTGTTGCCGTCCCAGATAAAACGAAATATCCAAGACCTTCCTGTGATAGGGGTTTGTCTGAAGATAGCGCCATGGTTTGGGATCACGGAATATTACTGGGAGGTCTTGGAACCCAGAATACTCATGCGTAGGCCTATACTCTTCACAGATGTTCCAGCAAAATGGGAGCAATCAATTTTTACACAAATGGTTTTACACAAATATTAAAATTCATTTTTGAACCTTTTTTTTTCTTTGCAGCATTTGTGGGTTTTGAAACAGCCAACAAGTACACTGTGAGAAATACTCTTGGGCAGCAAGTTTTCTATGCTGTTGAAGGTGAGTATATTGTATGCTCTGAAAGGTATCTATATTGACTTCTTAAATTAGTAAAATGCCAGTGTACAATTTTTGTTGGGCAAGGGCAATTATTCTCAACCTTAATTATAGGTTTAGATCTGAGTAATTAGTTACCCCACTGATGGGACAGATGTATCCCCATACTGCGGTTTGGGCACTGGCATGGTGGCCTGAATTTCTCTTAAAGACTTTCTTTATATTTAATTGCGCTGTAAATTACATATTGTTATTGTTAGCTGTTTTGGCCACTCTGCCAAAACAGATATTGTTTTCGTTAAGACATTTTTTTCATTTTTTTTTTCTTTTTTAGTCATCATCCTTTCACCAGTCGACTTTGGCAGTTTACTAAAATCTGATCCACTTCAAACTTGGCAGACCTTCAGACAATTATTCAAGGTTTTGTGTAGAACAAATTTGTTATGATGACGTCATCACTTGATTTGTTATTGAATTTTGAATATTTAATTTTTGGCCTCAGGATTTGTACACGTTTTTCTGCCATCAATCGACTTTGGCAGTTTGCTAAATCTGATTGACTTCAAACTTGGCAGAGCTTTAGACAATCATCCAAGGATGTGTGTAGAACAAATTTGTTATGATGACATCACATGATTTGTTATTGATTTTTTAATATTTAGTTTTTGGCCATAGGGTTTCTACATGTTTTTCTACTACACACTGTTGTCGAGTTTAATGAGTGAGTAGA